ATAGTTGATCTTGAATTATTGTTCAATTTACTGACTGCTGGTAGAATCTGTAAAGCAAAGGGAGGGGTAGGGGGTGGGAATTGGAATGGCACAAATTCTCCACAATCACCGACTGGTTAAGCAAAATATAGGACACTACATGGCTGATTTGCTTTTCTAACTTGTTTTTCTGGAAGCTATTCAAGAAAATAAATATGTTCTTTGAAAAATGGTCTTTGTTTATTTGGGGAATAACAAATTTCAAGATAAAAAGCAAGCCTAGTGTATGGTTGTTTTTCTATGTTGACATATCAGTTTAGGATTTAATTATGGCAGTCATATCAAACATATATGTTTGTGGTTTTCATTAGAACATATTTTCTTTTATTTGTAAATATTTCTAGTTCAGTACCATTTTTTTGTTTGCAACTTCTTATGGGTTTTTTTTGGGGGGGGGAGTAACTATTTAAAATAAAATCTTCCCAGTCTTGGTTGCTCTCTATCGCTAAACTTATTTCTGCCTCCTGCCCTTTCTTTCCTGCAGGGGCGATATGGATGTTTCTGCCGTCTGTCAATACCAGATTCAAGAGGTGCAGAAAGTGTTTGACGGTCCCTACAAGGAGTACAGTGAGGTAGCTCAGAAGTGGGTTCGGTACTCGGACCAAGTGCCCAGTCCTCGTCCTGGAGCAGTAAGTACTTCTGGGGAGGAGAGTGGGAATCCCAAGTGGCTTGCCTGCCCCCCGCCCCCTGAGAGATGGGGTGCCCAGCTGCTGCCCCTTCTGGTCTGTGAGGCCAGAAGTGTACCCACCACTCCCTTCCCTCCCAGTTTCCCCTTGGACAGATTGGCTCCTGAGATTGCTTCTCCAGATCCAGATTCTTCCAGAGTATCTTTACTTTTTATCACATGTGGTAGATACCGCATGCCACTGCCCAGGGCAGGTGGCAGCAACACGAAAAATGTAGGCACACCTTTGGAAAATGTGGATGTGACGGAGCAACTCAGTGGAAATTTCCCTGGTCTTACACGGAAGACTTGGCATGTCCCCAAGCTGATGTGAATCCTCACCCCAGCTGATATTGTGTTTCCTGCATCACAGTAGGTCATACTAGATGACCCATGGGAGCCCTTCCACCTCAATGATTCTGGGATGATTCTGTGATAATGGGCTACAGTGCTTTGTGTCTCCAAGCCCAAGCATGATCGGGCTGACAGTTGAGAGTATAGGCAGCTGGGATAGCTCAGTTGGTAGAGCACGAGACTTTTAATCTCAGGGTGGTGGGTTCAAGCCCCACATTGGGCAAGAAACTCCTGCATTGCAGGGGGTTGGGCTAGATGACCCTCGTGGTCATTTCCAACTCTGCAATTCTATTATTATCTCTCTGGGTGTGTTTTCTCTGGCTGTATCTCTGTCATAAGTGTCTACTCATCTAGTGGAAGCTACATTTCCTGGCTTCAAATCCCTGCGTCTTTTCCCATGTGCACATTACTTTTCCCAGGTGCCTTCTTATTTAGCCACGAGGAAAGTGTGCTCTGCACACCCGGAGCAGCCAATATGGTGCTCTTCAGCTGCTGCTGAACTGCAGCTCCCCACCTGATTGTGCTGCTTGGGGCTGATAGGAGCTGGAAGGCACTCCTTCTGTACGCCCTCAGAAGCACTCTTCTTCATGACTGCTTTGCATCCATCATGGCTGGGCCTTGTCAAATTAAAATCATTTTTGCAGAGCCAAGGCTTAATCTGTGCGAAAGCATTTTCAGCTCTGACCTAAGCCCTGCATCTTCCCTTCCTTCCAGTGCATCACCAACTCCCTGGAGCTGCCTGACAACACGCTCAACTTTGCAAAGAAGCACCCCTTGATGGATAAGGTGGTCCCTCCCCAAGGCAACCGGCCTTTGCTGGTCAAGAAGGAGGCCAACTTCACCCAGCTGGTGGTGGAACGGGTTCATGGCTTGGATGGCAAACCGTATGAATTGCTCTACATTGGCACAGGTATGGGATTCTAAGGCCCAGAGCACTCTTTGCATGCAGAAGGTACCAGTTTAACCTCTGGCGTATCAAACAAAAGGGTCTTGGTTAGTGAAGGATGGCAAAGCTTCTCTGCAGGAGGTCTTGGAGTGTTGCTGCCTGCCGGAGTAGACGAGGGATAGGGAACCTGTGGCCCTCAAGATGGTGGACTACCAACTCTCATGCCCACCCCCGCCAAGGACCTTATTGGCTGAGGCTGTTGGGAGTTGGAGTCCAGCCACATCTGGAAAACCACAGGCTCCCCATCCCTGGTGTACTTGCTTCACAAACTGAAACTCCACTGCCAGGCAGAAAAGATTGTGTCGGGGGTCTGGCTTTGTATGTCCAGTTGCAGCACCTCTGCGGATAGACTGAGTTAGCGCTGCAACCTGCTTCTGGCTTTGGGGGATGGAAATGCCACATGAGCCCCGCTCTTGAGTCAGATGAGAACAACGTAATTTCAGTTTTGATGCTGGGGCAGTTCTTGGAAGGAGTGGCCTGAGGAAGGACTGTAGCTTAATGGTAGGCACCTGCTGACCGGCAGTGTCATCTAGGTGGACCTAATGGCCAGACTCAAGGCAGCTTCCTAGGTTCCTATGATATGGTAACTGGCAGAAACCGTGGTCCCTAGGGCAGCTCTGTTCTGGAGGAGGGTGGCCCAGAGAGCGCCTTCCTGTGATGCTTCATTGCCATGACCTCCCTCTCTTGAATTTTCTGAAGATAATGGCTGGCTGCACAAGGCCGTGGTCTTGCCATCGGGTGTCCACCTGATCGAAGAGCTGCAGATCTTTGAGCATGCCCAGCCTGTCAAGAGCCTAGTGTTGTCCTTGCAGAAGGTAAGAAATGTCCCTGCATGGGCTGGGGTTGGAAACACGGGGGGCGTGACAGCAGGCAACAGTCCTTTCCTTGTGGAGTCACAAGGCATGTCCCCGATCGCACCCCATAAAGGGCAGTGCTGATGTGTAGGCCCACCCAAAAAGCCTTGCTCAAAACAGATTCTACAAATTAAGACCACTTGCTTTTGCTTTGGCTAATTCTACTTTCAGGATTCAGACATCAAAGGGTTAGCGAGTGGGGCTTTTTGATGAGGGATTGGTGGAATTGTAGTGTTTTGGAGGTGGGAGAATAGTGGGACATGCTGGTCAGGAGATGAGAGCAGTGCAGCCAACTGAGCACTACAGGATTGGGGTCAGCCACTGTGCACTTTGTGGTTTGCTAAGATTTCGTCAGAAACTGCCTGCATGGTTCTGTGCAACCATAAGGACTAGAAACCTGGACAAATGTATGTAAACTTAGATCCACAACATCCCACATTTGGCAGGAGATGTTTGTCCCTCTGCAGCAAGAGCATGCAATAGAGCAACCCAGGGAATGAGGCAGCGCTGACTTTTTCAGTGGTATCTGAAGATTAAGGTGGGAGCAAAGTGGTATGACTCTAGATGCTGCTCCAGTACTGATATTCTTCCCTCTCACCCCAGAGGGTGCTGTTTGTTGGCTCCAACTCCCAAGTTATCCAGCTTCCTGTGGCCGACTGCAGCAAGTATCACAGCTGTTCTGACTGCATCCTCGCTAAGGACCCGTACTGTGCCTGGACGTGGAATGGGAGTCGCTGTGTTCGCATAGATGCCTATGATGGGTAAGAGGCACATCAGTGCATCTTGGAAAGTGGCAAAAGAGGGAGTGAAAAGGAAGGGAAATGTGGAGAGTAGTTGTCTATTTGTGTACGCCCTGAGACATCAACTCTCAGGAATCTTGTTCAGCTACTCTTCTGTGTCCAGACCTTTGCTGAATGCTCTTAAGTAGCTTCCCCACCTCCTTGTAACCACCAGGCCTAGAAACTTCTGCACTTTCTGAGGGTCAGAACTCTGTGCCTGCACAAAAAGAACTTACAGGCATGCAGAATACACTCAACTCTGGTTTTATGGTCCTGTTGCCTTTTATTTAAATAATTTGTATCCTGTTTTTCACACATGTCTCAAAGTGGCTTACAAAAAAATAAATAAAACAGACAACATACAAATTTTAAAACAAAGGTGACCACCAGCTTTTCCTTGGTATTGTGGTGCTGTTCCTTAGCTTTGTTCCCTCTGTCTTTGTGGCAAAACATCTTCTGATGAACTGGCTTTTGACTCTTTCAGGACCTCGCTGCTGTTCCAGGATTTGGGAGTAGAGCCTGGGATTTGCAGCCCCCTGCGCACGTCAAAATCAGGTCAGTCCTCCTCTGCAATTTTCAGGCCGTGTTGTGTTGTGGTTACTCTGTGGACTCCTCGTATATATGCTTTGTGGGACTTGTGGTTTCAGCACTGTGGTCCTTCAGTGACAAAACAAGCTTAACTAGGGTGATTGTGTGTTTCAAATGCTCAGTTGCGATTCCAAAGCTAGCATCTTCATAGGAAATGCCACAAAATCGAGTTTTACTCATCCCTCATGCCAAGTGAAGGAAACACTCCAGCTTTCACCAGTAACTCTGGAGCAATGTCCTCAGTTGTCTCCACACCACACACCTCCTTTTTATCCTCACAGCAACCCTGTGAGGTAGGTTGGGCTAAGCAAAAGCGGCAGGCCTAGGCTCACCCAGGGAGCTTCATAGCCAAGTGAGGAATTTGTCCCTGGGCCCTCCCTGGTGTGCTGTATCATGCAACCAACGGACTCTCACAGGCTGCGCCTGGATGGACTCTTACTGCAAGGAGATTTGGTTGCTTGTCTGAGGGCAGCCCTGGGACTTGTGGCTGGACCATGAAAAAGAGGAGGCATAATTGCCTCTTGATCAAAACTCACATGACATTGAGTCCTCCGTCTGCAAATCCTTCTAGAAATGGTGGTGGGAGCCTGTGGGCACATAATTTGAAGCACAAGAGAACAGAATTAGGCAAGAGGCTGCCTGATCAGAATGTCTATACTAGGTCACTTTCACACAGTACATTTAAAGTGCTGTGATATCACATTTTTGCTAGATTAGTTCTATGTTTCTTTTTTGCTGCTGGAATTCGTTAAACGGGTTGGTTAGTGTTAATTTATTGCTTTGAATATAGCTCAAGTCAGTAGAGCATGAGACACTTAATCTCAGGGTCTTGGGTTCAAGCCCCACGTTGGGCAAAAAGGTTCCTGCATTGCCAGGGGTTAATTCCCCTCATGGTCCCTTCAGCTCTGCAGTTCTATGATTCTGTGACACTATACTGAGTAGGGCTGCCATTCACCCAGAATTTCCCAGACATAGCTGGGATTCGTCTGCCGGAAATAGCGTCTGGGCAGAATTACTGAAATTCAGCCAAAATGTCCGGGAAACCCCAGGCACAGAGCAACCCATGTTGGAAGTGTTGATGTTTTGGCAAATTTCATTTTAAAAAACCTCAAAAGCATTTTTTAAAAAGCTCAACAACTTTGCTATTTTTGCTTTTTGTAATATGGCAACCCTAATATTGAGGTTTGTCAGGGATTATGTGTTTCTTTGGACAAACAGGTGGGATAGACATTTTTAAAATGTGTGCCACTCTTTTGGTTCCTGGGAGGGACTTACAGGATACAAATGCAATATACAAAGACTCTGCTGTTTTTTCATTTCTGCTTGTGGGATCCCAGGGTGCTTTTGCTTTGGAAGCAAGAAAATCCTGTGTTTCGTAGACTGCATGGAGCCCTGTCTGTTGGCAGAAGAATAGCTGGGCGTGATGTCCTCCCCCGTCTCTTGTTCACCCTCTCCCTTCTCTCTGCAGGAACCAAAGTAATTCCCAAGAACATCACGGTGATGGTGGGCACAGACCTGGTCCTGCCTTGCCGCCCAACCTCCAACCTGGCCACGGCTCGCTGGACCTTCAATGGGCAGGAGTTGTCTGAGGAGCGGGACTCGGTCCTGTACGATGCCCACCTCAAGGCGCTGATCATCTTGGGCACCAGCCTGAAGCACAGCGGGCTGTACAGGTGTGTCCAGCTGGAGGAACGCAATGAGCTGATGTCCGAGAGCTACGTGGTCACCGTGGTCTCTGGCCCGGCCATGTCTCTGGAAGCGCGAGCCCCTCTGGAGAACCTGGGCCTGGTGTGGATGGTTGTGATCGCTCTGGCCGCCGTGTGCTTGGTGCTTCTGTTGGTGGTGCTGTCCCTGCGGCGCAGGCTCAAGGAAGAGCTGGAGAAGGGCTCCAAGGCCATCGAGAGCACCTTGGTCTACCCCATTGAGCTGCCCAAGGAGGCGAAGAGCCCCACCTTCATTCCCAGCACCACCTCGGACTCGGATGAGAAGCTGTGGGATCCAGCCAGCTACTACTACTCTGACGGGTCCCTGAAGATCGTCCCCGGCCATGCCGTGTGCCAGAACGGAGGCACCACACCCTCTCCCACCACCAACGGCATCCCCGGGCAGCCCCTGCAGTCTCCCCCGCTCCACTCGCCCAACCGCATCAACCTGGGCAACATCCGCGGCTCTTCCTCCAACGGCTACATCCGCCTCAACCTGGGCGCGGAGGAGCGGCCAGACTACAGCGACCTGGCTGAGGAGCTGCGCCGGAAGCTCAAGCAGAGGCAAGCGCTGCCTGACTCCAACCCCGAGGAGTCGTCCGTATGAGCAGCGCCGTGGACTGGGCCTGTGTATTATTACTCAACTACCTCATAAACTAGGCTGGGATCACTGCCCCTGGCTGGTTCTACTTCTTTTTTTAAGAAAAGAAAATCCTATTTAAATACTTCCTTCAGACACTTTGGCCCCCAGTTTTTATACACTGCCAAGCCCCCATTACAGGCTGCTCCTGCCTCATTCAGTGTTTTCAGCCGTGCTTCCTTCTGAGAAATCCCCAGGACTTTGTGGGAGGTGTGTTCAACTCTTCCTTTGCCTTGGATGGTGAGCCTGAACCTCACTGGAGACTTAACCATTGGACTGGCAGACCCAGTAATTCCGGCCTGCCCACCCCCACCCCGAAACGACTCTGTGGCTGATGGCAGTGTGGACAGCAAAAGGCAGGGCAGAGTCTCGTTCCCAGTACACAGCTGCCGTTGGGTCCATGCTGTTCTGTTTGCCACTTTCCTCTGCTGTGCTGACCAGGAAACAACTGGCCAAATGCAATAGTTGGGCTAGGGTAGCTGAGAGTCTGTGCCCCCCACCCATGCCTCTGAAGGAAACACTGAGGATTAACATGAAGATGCATAAATCCGCCCCCCCCCAGGGAGTAATGCCACAAAGGGGGCCTGCATGTGTGGGGCTGGGCCTCTTCAAGCTTAGATGTCTTGGTGAGAGCGAATAGGGGTTGGGAAGGTGGCGCAGGGAAGAATTGAGTTCTGGGGAAGACTTGCAATAACTGAGCTGGAGACTGCTTTGCCTGGAAAAGACCCACCTTTTGTCAAGGGTGGCACCACCAGGGAAGGTGCGCAGAATCTGGGTCTGCCCAAGGGATTGTGGTGAGGTCAAGGCAGAAAGTTTTGAGTGGCAATCTCCTGTCCTGCTAAAGCCTTTCAGGCTTCTGTTCAATTCAGCGGGGCTTGTGCAGGAGCTCTCCCCAGTAAATCACACCCTTCCCAGTCTGATTGGTGCCCTCCCCAGATCTGCCACCTGTGGTGACCACCTTTACTTACCCCGTGGTAAGACTTGCTTCTGGAGGGAGAGAGAACCCGTGTGTGTGTGTGTGTGTGTGTGTGAGAGAGAGAGAGAGAGAGAGAGAGAGAGAGATGCCTCTTCCTTCAAAGCAATTGACTGCTGTGACTAAACTGAGCTTCCTCCCTTCTTTTTTGGGGAATGAGGAGCATGCAGTGTAGATACCCCCATCCCCCTGGCTGTATCCCTGCCTGGTAACCAAGCCCTCAACACAGCCAGACCCTTCCCCTAATCCTGCATGCCTCACACCACTGCCAGCAGCTGACTTCACCCCCCTCCTCTCTTTTTACCCTTTTTTAATCCAAGAAAAACCCCATGTAAATAATAAGAGGGGCCTCTTGATAACAAGGGTCTCTTGCTCGCCCTGCCCACCTCTCCCAGGCAATTCGTGTAATTTATTTGTTACTGAAATATATTTATTTGATGTAAATATCTGGATATTTTTATATTAATAATAAAATGGAGAATAAGAATAACATGATGAGTACTGTGTTCATCGGGCGTGGGGGGTTTCTCTTCCATTGCAGAACATGCCTTCTCAGGAGGAGAGTGTGCATTATATGTTATTAATAATAATTGACGGCAGTAATAATATTGTTAAAACCTCATTGGGTGTACACTGCATTTTACAGAACAGAAGAGGTCCTTGTCCCAAGCAGACTGCAATCTAAATCTAGATGGGAGAAGGAGGGAGAGAGCAGGAAATTGGGAGAAAAAAAGGTGAATGTGGTGTGTATCCAGGACCAGCCCTACTCAAGAGTAGACCTATGGACATGAAATGGCATGGCTAACTTATTGTTTTCATTGGCTCTCTACATCGCATTTGGAGAGAAGAGAGGCTGAATAAGGGCCATATATTGCGATATGGTGGTGGGTGGTTTCTGATTGTCTCTTCTTGAAAACGAAGCCCTGACAAATCGCTGTGTGATTATGCTAACCTTTGCCAAACTCCAGATATTTTTGACAACAGCACCCCAGTATATCTCTTGCAATGAAGAGACCTGTAGTTCAAAACATCTCAAGGGCGCTAGGTTGGTGAAAGTTGGTTTTCTGCATTTTTTTTATTCCTGGCTATGATGCATCTCAGATGATGAATTGCCCAAGACAGGACAAACTCTTCTTTTTCTGCCCTGTGGAGGCCACTCCTGGATATCTCGCTGTCCTTTCGTTAGCTTTCCCGTCAACTGGGCCTCTTTCCCCGCGATCTTCGGGGCCTGCCCTTGTGACAGCCTGCCAGTCTTTTCCCTTTCGCTTGTGAGCTCATGGAAAAAGAACAGCAGGGCTATAAAAGGGCATTTCTCTGTTCCCAGCACTCCAGAGGGCCGAGCAGGGAGGAGAGGGGTGGGGTAGGGTGGGGGAGCCTGGTTCTCCCTGCTAGGGGAGGAAAGAACCAGAACTCCCAGGAAGCAGCTCTCTGGGCTCTGTCGTCACAACTGCTGCTCCTGTTGATTTGAACAGGCATTTATAAATATATTAAGGATGGAAGTAATGGTGTGTGTTGCAAGAGATTTCTCCTCCCCCGCTTATCCTGCCTTGATTCCCTTCTAGCTTCCAGTCTGGGAAAATAATCCATAGTTTTCCCCTGCTACACATGAGGCGCAGATCAGGCAATCAGCTAACAATAACCTTGCAATGAAGAGATGAAATTGGGTGTTTAAAAAGGATTTGCAAGGAAGCTTCTGGAGTGGAACGTGGAATCTCAAGATATCTGTGCATCCCCAGCTTGTGACCTATTTTGGCATCTCAGCATTCAGCTCCTTATTTTCATAGCACTTACAACTTCTTTGCCAAGAGTGAGGCAAAGTGTTTTTGTGTGTATCAATTAACATGGTGCTTCAGCAAAAAATAGACTGCTCTCCACCACCAAAAGAACTTAAAATCTACATTTTGACAGAGGGGGAAATAGCGAAGAGAAGAGAGGGGAGGGGAGGGAGGGATCTTTGTGAGCAATGAAGTTAAACCTACATAGGCTTTGCTAGAATTGGCAATGAAGATAAAGTCAAAGGCTTTGTGATCCTTGCAACACCCCTGTAATGAAGGTCTGTATTACTGTCAAGTTGTGGAGGATGAGGCACAATCGTTGCTTAGCTCAGACCACAATAGTGAGTTCATAGCAGAGGCCAGCCCTAGGACACAAAGTGCAACTGTTTGCCACTACTGTCTAAATGAATCAAGGCACGCTACCCGTAGAGCCATTCAGTCCAGAATCAAAAATTTGCTATCTGTACCACAGGGCAGTGTGGATTCCTGGCAGTAACCAAACCTGTGTTGCATTTGGCATCCTTGCTTTCTAATCCAGCACTGACCGATGCCCGTTGGCACTGGCCGGATGGACAGCAAGGAAGCCTATGACAGGTGGCTCCAGAGCCACCCTATCCATCCTCCCAAGAACTCCGGGAGCTGTAGTTTGCGAAGGGTGCAGAGAGTTGTTAGGAGATCCCTGTTCCCTTCCGGGAGTTGCAGAGTGATTTACAACCAATCCCTCTTCACAGAGAACTCTGGGAGGGGAGTGGGGGACTCCTAAC